TTCGAAAACAAACGACCTGGAATCTAGCCCGTGGTGGAGAAGAAGAAGTGAAACTCATTTTTGCAGAAATCTTGTATGCAGTGGTAACTGAACCCACGGGAACTTAATTTACTGATCGCAAAACATGTTCAGCCAATGTTTAGCACTATTAACAAGAGATTAGGAGATTAAGCATAGTTGATGGGTGTTTTCTTTGTTCGTGGATGAGTATTATTCAAGGGGAACAGCAATTTGGGAGTAAGCGCCTGCTAGCGTGATGGTTCGAGATACTCTGTCGCGTGATGAGAAAACAGGAGCTAAAGTGCTTCAATATAATGTTATGAGCGCGCTATACACTCTAATGCCAACGTTTTACACTGACTTCTTGCCATATGGACGCAGCTATATTAAATCTTATTCGTTGGAAGCAACATTTTTCAAGAAAATCATTGAGTTATTGGCTTTTGCAAGATTTTCATGTAAAAAATGTTCTTTTCGGTTCATAACTATAGTCAAAAACTATGCTTACCCTTTCCATGCATTACCTTCTAAAAAAAACTCTTCTTACAGTTGGAAGTTTGTCTGAAAAGGTGGCTGGATAGACAGGTATAACATAGCAAGTAGAATTACCATTCGGCATACATGTTTCGAAACATTTCACACTGGCAAAGTTTTGTCATTCTGCATTACTAATTATTTTTGAGATTTCAAACTTGTTCGCACTGAAGCTCTCTTCGTCTGTAATCCTTTATAGTGCAATACATATGTACGCAAGCGGTCAGTGTTATCCTTGGGTTCTGATTTAACCACGTGGCATTCGAAGCTTGAAAGAATAATATGTTTGAAGACACGCATAGTAGGAAATTATTAGCAAAATAGTAGCAAAGGGCTCGGTTTCTTATTATGAGGACACTAAAAAAAATCCCTCAGCGGGTGAAGCAAGGCACAAAGTGTCAATATTTTCAGAAATTTAGCACAGTCACGTAAGAGCTGAAATTTTTGCTGTAGCGAGCATGAATTGAAGGGAAAACGCAATTGGGCGAATTTATCTTATCGATATTTTTTTTTAGCAAAAGTGAAATTTAAGCTACCTTGACGTTCGTGAGCCTACAGTTCTTCGAGGTTTAACGAATATTAAACGATACTAAACAATAATTTGCGCAGTTACAGGAGATGTACATCGTATGTGGCTGAGGAGTCATTAACGCTAAAATGAGGTGCAATAAGTAGTTTAGGAGAATTGGAAGCTACTTGGCGTGAATCCAATTTCCGGTGCTAAGTTCATAAGATCGGAAATCAAGATTGAGGTTTTGGAGCGTTCAAGAGTGCTTTGGTCGTACTTTCGATAATTGTTGTTTCTTTAAGAGCTTGAATAATGTCATCTCATTGCTTATTGGTAGGAAGAGTTTAAAAGTAGGAAATGAAGGGGGAAAATGAAGGGGTATTCTAGAGTTCAAAACCATAAAGTTAGGCAATAGTAAGACAACGATCTGGCAACGAATAGAGACGAGCCCAAAGCCGCTCGCATTTCTATAGGCTAATTCGTTCCTCGAGAGGGCAACGTTGTGAGAATATAGAAATAATAATTGTGAAAGCAAAGTTCTCTTTGCTTTAAGAGAAAGTTACACGAACTCTTTAGCCGGTAATCCATTTAGCAAAGAATTGAAAAAGGAATGATATGACACAGCAATACGCATGTTGTGCAAAGATTGCATAGAATTTTTGTTCAAAGGATTTAGCGGCAGCGCTAAAAGCAATTGGCAACAATTAATGGCCGACACAGAGTGGTCCGCGAAATCATACACACTGCAACAGCTCAACTGAGCATTAAGGTTGTTCAAGTCTACTGCTTGTATTGGCTGGTTACATAATTTCCCGTGATTTTTGACGTATTTTCAAGCTTTTTTTTCAGGTTTTTTGCTAAATTCTGTACAGGTTTCCAAAGCCCTTTCTATGCTCTACAAACCTGCCCACATTTGCTTCAAGGTTGGATTGTGACCAAAAAATCTGCAAATGTGCTGACATTTGTTGTATTCATAAAAAGACACTCTTTCCTAGTCTGTTAAGGCATGGTTCACTGATGTCAAGTATTGGGCTAGGAAACACCACATATTGGTTAGGCATCCATGTTGGTTGAGAGTATTTGAAGGGTGTTTGAAAGTCTTGAGGATTTTATATAGACCCCCAAGAGATTATTATCGTTTCTGACAAATGTTCAGTCATGGGTAAAGTGTAACCTTCAACAACAAGGTTTCGCTCTAGATTTCCTCGAATGGCGGCCCCGCTTCTATGGTTCATGGCATGTACTTTTAAAAAAGAGGGAAGCTCCTAAGTAGAAACGAAGATGTATTTTGATCGCGTACATAACACACAAATAATCAAACAATTTCACGATCGCGGCGATTTGGGAAAGATCCTAGATGTTGAAAATGCAGTCAAACTTTGTTTATGAGCAAAAAAAAATTCGATGACTTTGGGATGCTATTAGTGCGGCTTTGTGTAGAAAAACTGTATAATACATCTGATCAAAATCTTATGAAAGTGTGGAGAAATGAGTAGAGAGGGTTCATGTAAATTACTTAACAACTTAATAGTTCGCTGAGCATGCTATAATTGATAATCAGCAACATTTTGTTGTATTGAGCATTTGTTTTTCTTAAGAGCATTTCTCACGGGGGAACATACCCAATTTTTGCTATGCAGCATGTGTTGGCTTACCTTGCAAG